CTCTCACTAGACTTCTTTTCAGTTTCCCTACGCTTGGGGATTGGTTTTATGACTTTCCTTGATCTAGTGATTATGGGATTTAGTTCCTTAAAATTGTTTTCTTCTGATCCTGAGATTTGTTCCATGTATTCCCCCTTAGAATTTGGTTGAGGCTGAGCAGAAAATTTCCCACGCTCCCCTACAACTAAGGTATTAGTTAACTTAGACATATAATTCTTTATCTCTTTGTTTTCCTCAACTACCTGAGTGATCATGTCTCAAACTTTTGATTTGTCTTACTTTGTGCCTCTATAAAAGCATGTAAGGTATCTTCTAAAGAGTTCCTAGAAGTTGTGGGCTGATATGAGTGTGTATTAAAGGTTCTAGATGGCTAGACAAGTTGCTGGTTTTCAGATTTCCAGCTGAAACTGGGATGATTTCGCCGCCCAGGATTGTAGGTTTTTGAAAATGGGGTATATGGCTTTTTGTATGTGCCGAATGCGCTGCAATGTTCCTCATAAACTCCCCTCATATCAGTAAAAGTACTACACTCTTTCTCTAGATGATCAATTCCACCACACACAAAATAGGGTCCTAGAGACTCAACACGGGATACATTTTATGTAGATTTCGAGTCCTTAGCACGTAGGGTCTCTAGTTCTCTAGTGAGGATTTCTACTTTGGCTCTAAGGCTATCCCCTCCCTAAGATGATAGATACCTGTACTAGTGAGATTTCATGTGTTTCGTAACCTATTGGTACTCTCAGTAGCGTCGGTCCAGTCAAAGTATGAGCTTTTTCCGCTAGGTTATCTAGATATTCTATAGCCTCATCAGGATCTTTTCGTAAAAATTCGTCATTACAAATTATCTCTACGAATTGATGCTCCCTAGGTGTTAATCCCTCATAAAAATAGCTCACGATATGCCAACTCTCATAACTGTGGTGGGGACAAAGGGCTTGCAATTCTTTATATCTTTCTGAAGCATGGTATAAAGTCTCACTATCATTTTTAGTGAAAAATGAGATTTGCTTCTTAAGGGCACTAGTTTTATTATGGGGAAAATGTTTATTAAAGAATGCTCGAGTCATTTCATCCCAAGTGCCAATCGACCGTGGTCTCAACGAATGCAGTCAGCTTTTAACTCGTTCTTTAAGGGGAAATGGAAAAAAATTTCGCCTGACTGCGTCTATTGTACACCGATGATTGTGGAAGGTTGTGACCACCTCCCCAAATTCCCGAATATGCACTTATGGATTTTCATTTTCAAGTCCATGAAAAGTGGAAAGAAATTGAATAATTCCCGGTTTAAGTTCCATACATGGCATGTTAGGCGAAAACATGATGCATGATGGTGTGGACGTGCATGTGGGGTGAAGATATTTCTGTGAAGTTCCCCTTGTTTACTATCAGTCATATTGCTGTGTAGTGTGGTGTTCGTGGCAATAGATACAGTATCAAAGATAGGGTTAGAAAACGAATCAAACAACGAAAAAGGTCCTTCAGTAGAGCTTCCTTGCTCGCTTCGATCTTTGCTCATAAAACACGAAAACTAAACTATATGAAATTATAAAAAATGACAAATAAGAAAATTAAATTACCTAAAGAGTAATAAAGGAACAATATCACCCTTTTCAGTCGATTCCTTGGTATTTTGTACCATCTCCCCGGCAACGGTGTTAAAATTTAATTACGCCCAAAGAATAACGAAATAGTTGTAGCACAGCTTTGGGATGTTATTTTCACATGGACATGGAAGAAATGCTTAAAGGATCAAAATGATGGATGTTATGTCGTTTGTGAAGGAGAATTTATTGTTTGAATAAAATTAAGAATTCAATGTTGAAATAATGAAATTAAAATCAATGTTTTAAGGTAGCGAAGCATTAGAATTCCCTCAATTGGATTGGATCAATCTCATTAATTATTCATTTTTTATAACTCAATTAGAGGCATTCGTCCCAACTCTCTAATTGAAAGATATGACGTTACAAATCACTTTAATTCAATTGTAATCCTAGAATCTAAACTTCCTATAACACATTTGCACTATTTTTATTGAAATAAGATCGAGAATCGACCATATACATCAAGCATAAGGCAGTAATCAATCCACCAATAAAGTGAAATTGAAATTGAAACTCAGCAAATAGTTTAATTCTTCGATGGAAAAAGTATGATTGAATTTATGAAAAATCTTGTAAAGATTAAGCCAATCCCAAAATATTTATAAGAAGAAAATCTAAATCCTAGAATTGGTTGACAATGAAAAATTGAATTACATGACTAAAAAAATGAGAAATCATCAATTCCAATCGAATTCCTTCTTAGCTTCACCAAGGTTTTTAGTTCTTCATCGAAATTCTTGAGTAAAAACCAGAGAGGAGGCATCTCCTCTCGTTCTGGTACGTTCTAGGTTGAAATATCGTGAAAGATATTAGTTTCCATAAGAATTTGACATAAATTAGGAAACTGAGATCGCGTCAAAATTTACTACTATGCGACTACATAGTAGTTGGAGCTGCGGTTGCATAGAAAAACCAAATTGGGTGCTAGATTCTCTGAAGAGCCTCATGCTACTGCATAGGAAATAGGCTATGCGATCACATAACTTATTTCATTTTCCACTTGTTGTGTTTTGGTCATCAAACTCCGTTCCCCATTTTGTGACTTCTTTTTCCACTTCCTCTTCTTCCCATGCTAATTCCTTCGCCCAATTTGACCTCGTCATCTTCATATCTTTGTTTTGCCTTTCGAGTCATCTTTTGGATATTTACAATTTGGTCCCTGAACTTTCATTTCCTTCAATTTAGTGTTTTTTTTACTTGTTTCTTCTTGTTCCCACTACATTTATCACGTTGTCCTGCAAAACGTAAATTACATAGAATTAAGATATATTCCAATTTATTAATCAACAATATATTCCTTGTTTTGACAGTAAAATAAGTGTGTAAAAATGCCCTTATCAGGGACCATACGGCTAATAATTTATTTGGCCGATCAAAATAAGTGGACAATTTTCCAAATGGATGTCAAGTCAGCCTTTCTCAATAGCTATCTTGAAGAGGAGGTCTATGTGCAGCTTTTTTGTGAAAAGGAAATGAAGACAAAGTGCTCAAATTAAAGAAAGATCTTTACAAGTCAAAGCAATGACTAAGAGCTTAGAATTGTAGAATTGACAAATATTTCAAGGACAATGGCTTTACCAAGTGCCCTTATGGCCATGCTCTCTACATTAAGATGAATGCCAGTGGAGTTTTGACTATCTGCTTGTATGTTGATGACTTAATATTTATAAGCAACAATTCAAAGTTGTTTAAAGAATTCAAGAGAGCAATGTGTAGTGAATTCGAGATGAAAGATTTGGGACCTATGTCCTATTATCTTGGGATAGAAGTGAAGCAAAAGAAGTAATGCATTTTCACCTCACGTGAAAATTATGGAAAATAAACGTTTTACAAAAGTTCAACATGAGTAATTGCAATCTAGTCAACACTCCAGTGGGATGTAGCATCAAACTTTCTAGATATGATGATGGTGCAAAAGTGGACCCGTCCTTGTTTCGAAGCTTAGTTGGAAGGTTGAAATATTTAACTTGTACAAGGCCTAATATATTATTTGGAGTTGGACTGGTTAGTCGTTATATGGAGGCTTCATTAACAGTACATCTAAAACCTGCAAAGAGGATTTTATGTTACATTAAAGGTACTCTTGATTACGGGTTACATTATTATGCCTTTAATGATTTCAGACTTCGCTGTTTCGGTGATAGTAATTGGGATAGAGATATTGATTATCAAAAGAGTACGAACAGATTTGTATTTTAAATGGGTAACACGGCTTTTACTTTGAGCTCCAAGAAGCAACCAATTGTTACTTTGTCAACTTGTGAAGCAGAGTACATTGTTGCCAATTCTTGTGTTACTCAAGCAGTTTGGTTGAGGTATCTGCTAAAAGAGCTTCATTTTGCAAAAAGGAAGCCTATTCAAGTAAGTTTTGATAACAAATCAGTCATTGTTTTAGCAAAGAAACCGTTGTTTCATGAACATTGCAAGCACATAGACACCACTTATCCTTTTTGCGTGAATGCATTGCAAACAAGGTGGTGGAGACTAGTTATGTAAAGTCTCAAGACCAAATTGGATATATTTTCACCAAGGCTCTCAAGTTCAATACTTTCAATGAATTAAGAAGCTTGCTTGGACTACATAAAAGTCATGTTTAAGGAGGGTGTTCGAAGAATAAACATGCATTTCACCTATTTAATTTAGTTTCATGAATTTAGAAATTTGAGATACATGTATTGGTAATTTAATATGTACCTAAGTAAAGTGTGGTTCATATATGTATATATTAGTAATTAATATGTACCTCGTGAAATGTGGGGCATGTAGTAGAATTAAATTGAGGAGATAAACTTATGTGTACCTATATAATTTTGAGTTGAAGGCAAGTCCATAATTGAACAGAAAATCATCTCGTCGTTGAGTTTTTCCTCCTCCTAAGTCCATTACTATTTCCCACATACACCTATTTTGTAGGAAAAAGACGAGTTAGTCCTACCAATTAGCCACAACCATATTTTTTGATGGGCTAATTAAGGTCCCTACTACAGGCCTGAACGCGCGTGGGTCCGAGCTAGTCCACACAATTTGACACCGCTAGTTATAGAAAAATAAGGTAACTAACAAACAGGTAACAAAAAGATTAAGTTAAAACATAGTTTGCTTTAGAGCTTTATTTTCTTTGAAACAAATTTCAGGAGACATATTTTAAAAGTTTTGGAGGGTACAATTCGTGTCTCAACGTACTCGATTTACGTCGGTTCAATGAAGTTACAAATCCACAAACAAGAAGCCTAACAGCAGAAATATATTTGGAGAATTACATGCAAAGATTAACAATTTCTGAGCTGCATAGGTATGCTCTACCAACATAAAATCAAAATCTTAGGTGACATGTTAGACACCAGGACACATGATTAACAACCGATTGACATGTGTATAAGAATTCATCCAGAGCTAGAGGGTGGGGGACTCGTGTGAAGAACGTGATATAATATGCGTATAGAGGAATTCGTTCCATGTGTCAGGCAAGCCCGGTAGGCACCAATGGATGCAATCTGCAAAATTGGCTGGATCAGCTTTCTGCTCGGGGGTCAGCATCTTGCCTTGGCGAATGGTGTGAACCGAGGTGTGAGCATCTTTTCGATACTCAGAAAGGGTGGTTACGTTGAGGAAATAGACAGGCACTTTCATTGATTCAGTGATATTTACTGCAACTCTGAATAGCCTGCGGTCTGTGCCCACATTCAGTGGCATTGAGGTGTTGAGTATTGGGGTTGTTTCTAAGGCACATTTTATGCCATCCGGATTTTCCCAGTCCAAGCTCCTGTATTATGTGTACAAGGAAATGAAATCCAAACTATAATAAAAACTTGTCAAATCTAAGTACAAATTTGTTTAGACTCTTATTAGGGTTGAATTATGGGTGGTTTACCTTATAAAACTTAAAAGAAACAATTATTTACAAATGATTGAGATTAGTTGAAGTGGGATTCTAAAGATGCTCTCTGATTTAAATTTTTAAACTATTAGTAGTTGAAGCAACAAATGTCAATTCATTTAGCCAATAAAATATTTGTCTACTATTATTTTAGAACTTTTTTTTTTCAAACTCATTTTCAACCACACATTCAAACAATAAAATATTTTGTATGTAAACTCAAAATCTTTTTCTACTTTTTAACCACACATTCTCCAAAAATTCATTATTCCAAAACTCATTTTCATTAAATAATGGTATACGAACATAGGCTTAGTGGTAGATTGGACGGGACTAGACAATGATTAAGATTTCAGCTTTCCTACCGAATATGACTCTTAAGGTATGAATATATGCAAGTGTACGTTGGCGAAAGGAAAGAACATCTATTGAATGAAAAAGGGAAGAATGTAAAGAAAATAGATGTTAAAAGTTAGCTTCTAAGCAAAGAAAAAATATAGGGACGACAGGCCTTACTTGATGTGAAGAGGAGACATGCTCATGAAGAAAACTTGTGTTCGATTAGGATTTATATTTTTATCTACCCACTTAGCCCAGGTCCTCAAAACTCTTTCATACGCCACAGGCCTTGCAATTTCGTCATACTCTGTCGCCCCTTCATCGAAGGATCCTCGCCTGTTTTGTAGATCGAATATGGCAAATTATCAATTTATCTGTGCGCACATATTGAACACGACTGAAACAAACCATTCTATATACTTACAGAACTTTCATTGCGAAAGTGTTCATCCACCATATATAAGTATTGAAAATGAGAAAGTCAACATTTTTCCAATTCTTGCCATGCTTTTTGATTGATTCGGGCATGATGATCCGGTTCAAAATGCTGTGCATATTAGGATCATCTGAATTTGATTCCACCAAAAATGGAGCCCAGTAAAACTCTACTGTAGCATTATAATCCTGCAAGAAAGTGAAATTTGGACCCCAATTAGGTGAAAGGTGGTTGATACTTATACAAGTAACGGACTGTATTTCAACAACTTTATATTCATTCCAAAAGGTGGAACAAACTTTACCTTGTGTAACAATTATGATTCAATTTGTAAAGTAATGGTCCTTGTTGAAAAACATAATCATGAATTAAATGTCTCCTTTCACTTATAAGAGGAACTAAAATTGGATGAATATCAGAAACAAATAACAATTATCGAATCAAGCGAGTTGTCAATGTACTCAATGATTATGATTATGGAAAATATGTCCAGAACGACCATAGCAAGTACCTCAATTCGGAAAACAGATAAAGAGCCAGACTTGTTCAAGCTCTTTCGTTCGGGAGGAACGACGGATTGGACGAAACAAATCATTGATTCCCATTGGTTTCGATTCAAGGAGTCCCCAACAAACATCAGCCTCTTGTTCCTCAGTTTCTCGAGCAACAATCTTGGTCTAAATCTTGATCACAAAAGTCATTAACAATTAATACAACAATATAAACTTAATTAATAAAAAAACTATGAAAAAATATCTATACACAAGAATTAATGCTTACTTGGGTAAAGAACAATCTCTGGGCTGCCACCTCCAATTCTGATACAAAGAATCCTTCCTTCCATTCCTCATGCAAGTCACCTGGGCTGTGAGAAACTCACATTCATCTTCTTTATATAGTGGGTGTGTAACGTTATCGAAAACCCATTGCCCTGTAAACAGATCACAGTCTTCAGGAGGTAATTCAATTTCCTCCTCCTCCTCCTCAATCTCATCGTCATCTTCAGCGGGTAGTTCAATTTTCTGTTGTTCCTCCTCTTTTTCTTTCCCATCTTTCAAGATCACAGATTCTTGTTTCTGATCATGATCAGAATCGGAAGTTTCTATCTCCGTCTCCACTACAGTTCTTGCATTTAGAACAACTGAAACAGTGGTCTGATCGCCAACATTCTTGTCACTTTCTTGAATTATACCATTCGTATTCTTGGATGGCTCTTCTTGAATTTCTTGACCACCCTTAGGCCTAGAAAACGGGAACTCAGCAATAGATTTCACGTCCTCATTGTACATGAAACAACCGAACAAAAAAATCGAAAACGCCACAACGAAAATAGAGAGATTACTGCCCTTTCGGCTTCCGGTGGTAGACTTCATTGTGAAAGATTCGGTGGAGAAAATTGGTGTGAATTTCCGGCGGTGTGAAGGCTGCATGACAAGAAGAATGGTAAGAGGGAGATTTATGACACAGAAAATACAGAAGAATGAGAATATAAGAGAGTGATACTAACATGTTGCTGTTGTGGGTTGATTTTTTTATTTTTTTATTTTTAATTTGTTTGATGGAAAAATTTGGTGAAATGGGGTTTTCTTGAAGAAACTGTTTTGGTTATTGGTGGCCGGAGGATTGTCATTCTCAGTAGCTTACTTCTAATCCTTTCTAACTACTACTGCTACTTTCTTCATACTCTGGTACGGAGAGCGAGAGAGGAGTAAAATCTTACTTTAAGCAACAGTGTCGTTTTCAACGGTTAGTGGGTAAATTGACAAATTCGATCTACGGTCACTGAATTTTTTAGTGAAATCTCAAATAGGTCGTCTTAATTAGATTACTCAACTTTAATTTATTTTTAATCGTAATCACTCTGCTAACTCTATTCTGAAACCAAATTCCAAGGAATCCAAAAAATTGAAAAACGGAATCTATGTTTAACGGCTCACACCTAATAAGAAAAAGTATTTTGTAGTAAAATAAGAAATTGAAAATTTAATTGAAATTGTACAACTTGAAGCGGGTTCAAAAGATCAATTGCATGAAGTTTTTACTATCTATTACCATAAATGTATTACTATAATGAAAGGTTAACAAAAAATGAGTGGATGGTTATAGGGGCGGACGCAGAACTTTAATATTGGGGGGGCACAATCGAACTTGCAAAGAAATTGAAAGAAATTTTACAACGAAAATTTACGTCTAAAAAAATCATACCTCATTTAATTTTACATCCGAAAATTTACATGGGATATGAATTTTTCAGATGTAAAATTTCGAAATTTTTTGAAAATTTCCTAATTAAATGATGAAAATTACATTTAGAAATTTGTATCACAAAAATAATAAATATTAATGAAATAATTAGTTTTTTTTAAATTCGAGTTAGACGTCTTTTTAAAGACTCACGTTTAACGTATTTTTAACTATTTTCGATATATGTTTGAACTATTCGATATGTCCATAATGTAGTTCTTGAAATAAACTTCGAAATGATATAAGCAATTTGTAGATTCGATTAGCATACAATCGTCGGAGAATTTTTAAAATTAGTATATTTCGAAATTCAAATTTATTTTGATTTTGCCCTTGTTTGGTGGAGATTAAAATCATATTTTTAGTAAATTTTGATAAAAATTAAACAGTTATGGATTTCATGAAATATGTTATTAAAGTTAATTGTTAACTTTGATTTGGATTAAAATTAAAATTTCAATCAATACCAAACGTGATTTTATAATTACAAAAAAAAAAAAAAAATAGAATCTCAAAAGTTGGGGGGGCACGTGCCCCCCCCAAGACCCCCCTTGGGTCCGCCCATGGATGGTTAGGAAGACTAAGATACGCAAATGATTAATAAATGAGATTCTATAAATTATCCAACACGATATTACTGTAGGTAAAAGGTGTTATTGAGTAGTGAGACATACGACAAAATATGAAGTAAACAATCACAATACAAGAAGATGGGTAAAGAAAGAAAATTTATTATATCAAAAGTATGGAGATTAAAAGAATTTGATGCTAACTATAGAGAAATAATGTTCTCTCAATGTTAAGAAGAGTCTAGAGGTCATGTACAACAAATAAAACCCTAACAATTATTTCATAGATGGAATAGGTACCTAAAATCGCATCAAAACGTAAAACTGGTTGGGTAGGATACAACCGCCACTCTAGCGCTACCCCGTAAGAGGCGAGCGGTGAAGGCACCCCTCGAGCTTCGGGGGCAAAAGGTGAGCGGCAGCTTGTTGATGATTTTTCCGTCCAGCCGCTCTTGCTGCCACTGGCGAGAATGCATCAACTTTTCCTCCTTGGTCCATATTTTGACCGCCTTATTACATGTTCAACCAAAACCCCAATACCTAACAAAATTTAGGTCAAATTTCAACAATCTTTACCTTGACACAAATTCCAATGCAATAAACAAAACTTCAAAAAATTCTCCACCTAGAGACAAATTCTACTGCGAGGAATGGAATTTCACTCTTCAACAAAATTCTCGACCTATTTCACAATTGCCCAACTAGGGCAAACTTAATAACTAAATATCAAACTGAATCCAAGCACTGTAAAGCAAGGTTACCTTGGGTACCAAATTTGATCAAATTATCACCACGAGCAACAAAATTACAAATACCTCAACAATAACTATTAAACAAGGCAGAAACCTATCATGTAACTGAATCAACACAACTAATTACTTCTGCGAAAGGTTCTTCACTAGACTCAATACTTTCAATCACATTTAAAGTATAAACAACGAAATCAACTTTTCAGTACCTTTGTGGAGGCCTAATATATCTCCTAGTCCGTCTCTAGGAATTGAACACTGTGGCACCGGTTGTGATGGTAGTAAAGTTGCATTACCCATGATTTCTAAACTTGACTGAGATTTATTCTACAATGTAGACCCTAAACCTAACTCCAACGAACCTATACCAAACTTAAACTCCACCTGAGTGCCTAACTTTTGCTGATTGATAACGAAAGATTTTGTAGAACTCTGCAAGACATATAACTGGTACCTTATCTGTCCTTTCAACACAACACGGGGCACATTTACTAAATTTCAGGATTCTACATTCACCAGTGTACTTGTACACTTTTAAATTACGTGTACTCAAGGAGATAAAATTTCTCTTTAAACTTGGAACATGTCTCACCTCATCAAGTTTTCTGACCATCTCATCAAATATGTTAATTTTGACTCTTTTAATACCAGATATCTTACAAAGTACATTATTTCAAATTACCATAACATTTTTTGAAACTGTTTCATATTTTGAAAACGAATCCTAATTGGGACACGTATGAATGTGCAAGCTGTGTCGTGAGGTTAGGAGTCGCTATCAGAACTAACTAAAAGTTCTCCATCACTGTAACAATCTTTTGCAACACTGCCTTTACCTAAATTTTTTGGTTGTACGTTTTTTATTTGCAACAATTGATTTATCCTTATTCTGCAACTTATATCAATCGTTCTTATTGTACTCCTTTTTCTTGCAATAATTAGAAATTTTATTGCTAGAATTGGACTTCGATTTGCCCCTCATATCACCACCACGAACAATAAGTCCCTCTCCATAAGCCTCAGATCCAACAAGATGCTTCGCCTTTCTTTTGGAAAACAAAGCATCGTATACTTCTTCAATTGTGAAAGTATCATGACTATATTAGATCGTGTCTTTAAAAGACATATATGAAGGGGGCAACAAATCAACCCTGAATCTTTTTCATCATACTTGACCTCCAAGGTCTCCAATCAGTGACAATTTTCTTAAAAACAGTTAGGTGGTCTTCAAATGATGTATCTCTTGTCATACGATAAGAATACAGTTGCTACTTCAAATACAATTTGATTATTAGACTTTTTATCATACACAATTGCTTCAACTTTAACCATAATGCAGTGACGATTTTCTCTTTCAAAATGTTCTAAAAAATATGATTTGAAAGATGAAGATCAATCTGTAAAAGGGCCATTGGATCCTTGCGTTTTTTCTCTTCTAGAGTCCAAGTTGGTTGCATCTTGTCAAACTCCAACAAAGCATCATCCAAATCCATCCAAGCAAGTACTATTTGCATCTTCACCTGCCATAACGAAAATCTAGTGCTGTAATCCAAAAGTGAAATATCATATTTCATGATTACCATCACAAAAAATCAAATGCTCGTTATGAATAAGAACTTGACTCTGATACCAATTGTTATTGAGTAGCGAGATATATGGAAAAAAATATGAAGTAAACAATCACAACATAAGAGCACAAAATTGGCAGAGGAAGACAATTTATTATATCAAAAGTTTGGAGATTACAAGAATTTGATGCTACTATAGAGATAATGTTCTCTTAATGCTAAGAAGAGTCTTAGGTCGTGTACCACAAATAAAAGCCTAAAAATTATTTTATAGATGGGGTAGATACATAAAATCGCAGCAAAATGCAAAATGGACCTTAGGGCGGATATATAGGTGGACAAAATGACCAAAGCAAATCAAGCCAAGAACCAAACTCAATATTTAAAATTCAATTGAAAATCAAAACAAAAAGATCATGTATCTTCGATTTCTTATTTCTCAATGTGGACACTAGAGACTCTAATTCATTTTGAAGACTCAAACCCTAATTTATTTCACATTTTCTCTCATTTTTAATTTATACATCAACTCTCACTTGGAGAGCAACAACTATTGTATGCCGTCTATTATCGCGTTTAGCCACCACCGTCGAATGGAATTTTGAAAATGTTATTTCTCTTTGTTCTCAATCAGTATTGAAACTAGAGCCATGGTTCAGTTTTCGTTCCATACCTTAAAAAAATCATTTCATTCCATGATCAAAAAAACCATTAGTTGGAAACAAGTCCAAAACCTAGCTGGAAACAACCGCCACTTGAGCGTCAACCTATTGGGAATCGAGCTTCAAAGGCACCGCTAGAGCCCAGACTGGCGAAAAGCGAGCAGTAGCTTGTTGATGATTTTTTCATCCCGCTGCTCGAACGGATAGGTAGCGGGAATGCAGCGATTTTTCCTCCTTGATCTATATTTTGAACACTTCAATACCTCTTCAACAAAAACAGAATTTGGGTCAAACTTCAACTAAAGAAATTCAAATTGGGTAACTTTTATCTTCAACAAGAAATTTGACATTCAATGCGGGTCGAAGCATCTAGTTGCCCGATTGGTTAAATGCTATTATACTTGTGAAGTTGACCACAATATGTCATGTCTTATTTTCTAGATAAATATATCATACAATTATGTCAATATTGTAAAATTCTAAGTAAATCATGTTAAAAAATTCATTGTCATTAATCCAACTGAGCATACTTGAAAGCTATATTTATCCGTAATTTCATGATTTTAGAGTTAGACAAGCTT